GGGAAAGAGATAAAATGATCTTACTCTACAACTGATTTCTAATAATACCATCCTTTAGAAATGTGTTGTGCTAAAAGGAGGCATTGATTGTTTTTTCTCCTTGTAGGAAATAATACCAGAAAGGGGTAGAATGGGGCGAACAGTGAATGAAGGTAAGATTCACATGTCTAAAGATGATAATATTTTTAGTTATTCGTTTGGAATGAGTATCTTTTGGTAGACTGAACTTTTTTTGAAAAAGCCTTTTTAATAGATGTTAGGTGCTTAGAATCAGAATTTTAGAAATGAATAGCTATTAAAGATAATTTTGTCTTCCTCGTTTTGTAAATGAGAAAACTGATGCTCAGGGAGGTTAAGTGAACAGGTCATAACAACAGTCTGTGACAACGCCAAAATCAGAATACAAATCTTCTAACTCTAATATGAGTGATTAAAAATGCTTCATTTTGTTTTGTTCTAGTGAGAAGGCTTCTCACTGTCCTTCTCACTTTTCTCCTAATTTGCACTATTTTGAGTTGAATTTTCTCTCTCATAATATATACATCACACCTTTGCTATCTTAAATCCTGTTCTTCCTTTAAGACCCTGTTCAAGTCCCGTGTCTTCTCTTGACTTTCTTTGGCTGAATGCTGATTGTTGTCCTCTGCTGTTCCCAATTTGTCAAGTGTATTAGTTTAGTGTAGTCTCTGTAACAAGATTCTTTACTCTAGCTTTACAGTTTTATTTTCTTACCTATTAGAAAATCTTACTGTAGAACTATTTAGTAAATATAAGTATGTACTTTCTTTGTACTAGCCAAGTCATTTAAATAGAAAGCAACCCATATATCCTCTTCAAGTGTTCACATATCTTGAAGAGTCACTCAGTCATAACCAGAAAGTAGATCTGTTATCTTAAATGGTATACCTGGAATAACTCATAGATCTTTCTTTAAGAAGCTTGTTGCTTGACAATTTGAGCATCGATAGGGTAAAACAGCAATAGATGGAAACATATCAGATATGATTAAATTCATGAGTTCATAATGATACCGAAAAAGAAAACTTACTGGTAATCTGTGGAGAATGCGACTTCTCTATGTGACCTGCACCTCAGGGTAACAATGGTTGAAGAGGGGAAGTTTCACTCTATAGAACTAAATACTAGGAGCCTCCTATGAGAAGTATTCAACACAACCTATGAAGTCATCTCTCCTATCCTCCCCCCAAAAAAGCCAAACCTGACTTTGATTGAACTCTTGATCAAAATATCAATACCAATTTAGAGAAAATATAAGGACCAGAAGAACATATGAGGAGACAGTCAGCAAAATCCAGTTTGGAAAATTCTAAATTGGTATCATCAGCAAAAAAATTGCTAGGGGAAGAGGGGAAAAGAAAAAAAGAGGTGGAGCCTATAGATCAAAAGACTTATGAGACATATCAACCATTACTATGTATAGACTTTATTTGGGTCCTGATTCAAACAGACACACTTAATTAGGACAACTGGGGAGATGTGAACACTGACTGCTTATTTGATGATATTAAGGAATTTTGATTAATTTTTTTCAGCATAACAGTATTATGATTAATATTTTTAAAAATGAGTACTTTAAGAGGTATGTACTATAAAATGTGGGCAAAATAATGTAATATCTTAGATTTGGTGAAGTCACAGGTTTAGCACTGTTTGAGCTCCTCACATTGGCACAGAGAAAAAATTCTGCCTAGTCCGTTGAATTACATTATATTCTAGCTTCCCTGTTATGTTTTAAACTCTCAAAAGCATCCACTCTATTTCTAGGGCATGTTAATTTGAATATTGTAAGGATCAACTCAGCTCATTTGGTGTATTTATTTATTCATCTAACAAATGTTTGAGGGTGATATTGCATGCCAGTTCTAGGCACTGAAGATATAGCAGTGAACAAAACAGACTAAATAAAATAAATAAATCACTGCCCTTTTGGAGATAACATTTAAGTGGAGTGAGGCATACAATAAACAAAATAAATGATCAAATTATAAGGTACATAGTATGTTAAAAAAAGAAGTCCTATGTAGAAAATTAGAATATTAATTATAAAATTAAAACTGGCTCCTATCAGAAAATAGTTTCAGTTTATAGTTTTTCTAAGTGCTCTTTCAGACTATTGCTATGGTCTTCCAGTATTGCTCATGATTTTCTTTTTTTAAGGTTCAATGGATGTCAAGAAGGAGAATCAAGGGAAAGCTCCTCACTCAGGCACATCTTCTATGCAAAATGGTAGGTTTTAAAGCAGTTCAATACAACATATTTTTCTTCACTCAGTGTTAATATAAACTCATTGCTTTTGATATAGTCTGTGTACAGTAAAGGTCTGTAAATGTAAAATGTAAGCAATAAGGAAGGTCAAAAAATAGTATTTTATTTTGAAAAATTTACTTTGGTTTTACTTAGAGATAAATTGGTATGACATTAAGTAAAAAGATAGCTATGTATTTTAATGCAAATTTTGCCAAATTTAAAGATATCTAATTATTACCATGTGTTTCCAGTTTAAAATGATTATTAATAAAAACCCTTCTTCTGACATTAGAGTCAATGTGAAAGTCCTTTTTTGATGATCAAAAGACAGTTCAGTGGATAAAGGGTTAGGCATTGGGAGGTCTGACAGACCTGTCCTAGAATCCTGGCCTCATTCTTTATTGGCCTTGTGACCTTGGCAAAAATACTCAAGATTCTTAGTCTCTTTTTTCTTCTCTGTCACACAGAGATAATACTACTTATCTTATGGGATCATTGGAATTTAAATAAAGAAAATGAGTATAAAGCACCTAATATAATGCCTAGGTACATCATAAATGTTCAGTAAATGTTAATTTTATTTATTCATACTGAGTTATTAATTCATGTTTTAAGTTCCTTATTGTGAACAGTGCATGTATAGTACTGCATCAGAGACT